TTGGTGTTGAGCAACATGTTCCAGCCCAAACCCAAAGGATATCCCTCTGTCCCTTTCCCGTCACAGAGCTAACTGCATCCTGGCCCCACAACCACAAAGGAGAGGAGAGGGCAAGAGCAAATGAAAGGCAGGCCGGCCCTATGCTGCTTCTTCTGGGAGGGTCATCTTTAAAAAAAAAAAGATCTGTCTCCCCCCCCATTTATTTATTTATTTATTTATTTTACTTTATTTTAGAGAGAGGAGGGTGAGAGAGAGAAACATCAAAGTGAGAGAGAAACAGAAACATTGATGGGCTGCCTGCTGCAGGTGCCCCAACCAGTGGCCAGGGCGAGGTCAGCATCTTCAGGCAGCAAAGCCAGGGTGGAGGGGTAGGGGGTTTGGGAAGGGTGGATGGGAGTGGGGGTGGGGAGCTTCACAGGCTCAGAGACCCTGGTTTCTGCCCCTCCATTCTTGCCTCACACTGTCAGGAGCTGGATCACCTCCTCCTCACTCACTCCCACATTCCTTCCATCCCTCACCCCCTCACTGCACTTCACTGGTCCTTGGGCTCCTGCCGGGGCTGAAACTAATGGCACCTCATGTTAAGAGTTTGCTTAGAAAAGTAGAAGACAGCCCTAGCTGGTTGGCTCAATGGATAGAGCGTCGGTTGGTAGACTGAAGGGTCCCAGGTTTGATTCCAGTCAAGGGCATGTACCTTGGTTGCGGGCACATCCCCAGGACGGGGTGTGCAGGAGGCAGCTGATGGATGTTTCTCTCTCATGGATGTTTCTAACTCTCTATCCCTCTACCGTCCTCTCTGTAAAAAATCAATAAGATACATTAAAAAAAAAAAAAAAGTAGAAGACAGAGGACTCCTCAGCCAAGTCAGGCTTCAAGACCCATCCTTCCCTTCACCTGCTGTGTGGCCTCAGGCAATGAACTTCCCCTCTGAGCCCCACTTTCTATGTTTCTAAAAGGGTCTATTCTGCTTCGTGGGGGTGTCACACAGACTGAGGGTGACAAGTGGGGCTGATTGAAGGGAGTTTTAATAGAAGAGCTCACCGCTGGGCCTGTGGTGGGAGGAGGCCCTTGACTTTGGCTCTTGACTCAGCAGATCACTCCCTTCTCCCAAGTCCCAATTTCTGCTCCCTCCCCAGGGGCTCTCCCTCCACCCTGCCCTGCGCCAATATTCAGACAAGGAGAGGCCATGGGGATGGGGGGATGCTCACAAGGGCTGGCCCCCCAGGGCCCCGGTGGGAGGTGGGTCAGAACTCCTCCCTGAGGCTGGCATTTCTGCTGAGCAAGAGCACAGGTGGAAGTTGCACCCTCACCATTGCCAGGTACCTGAAGGGCCAGGCTTCCCTCCCCCACACCCATGCTCACCTTGGGAGGTTTGGTGTCCTCCATGCACCAATGGGAACAGTAGGAAGAAGAGGGCTACAGGGGAGAGAGGTGTGAGAGTTGGGGTCCCAGCTGGAGGAGGTGGGTGTGGGTAGACCCTTACCCTGGTACCTTGGGTGATGGGAGGCCCGCACCTGAGAAGATAAGGAGTCCCGACTCCCTCCCGCTGGGCTCTAGCCTGTATCTGGCTGCTCCTGGTTGATGCATGTTATGGAGGCCACAGCATTTGGGAGAAAGACAGTTTTTATATCCTATTTTATGCTAATGCAGTGATTTGGATTGGGGCTTAATCCCAGAGAGAGGTGGTGAGATATTGAAATTCTTGACTCTTTCTGGAGGTGGGCCTCTGGAGACTTAAGTAAATGAGCTGGGGAACAGAGCTCATACCTGACAAATTGAGTCACTCCCTGGTTGTCTGATGCCTTCTGTGTGCACCTGAACAGGTGGGCGGGGCCCACTCCCTGGAAGAGTTTGCTTTGGACACCAGGTTCTTTTCTGCTTCTGTAAAGCCTGCTCATTTAAATCTGAATCAGCCAGTAGTGGTACCGGGCAGGAACCCTGCCCTGCGTGGGTCTGCCTAGGGCAGCCGGAGATGTGTGGGCTTCTTGCAGGAAAAATGTCACCATAGGAGTCCAACCCAAGGACCTACTGGTCTGGTGCACTCGCCCGCCGGTCGCTCAACAAACTGAGCCACAGGGGCCAGGGGGAGAGTGTGTGTATTAAAGCTGGGACAGTGAAGCAGGAAGGCTTAGCATAGAAGAAGCAAGGGGACACCTAGGCGGGGCTGCTCTGGTCTCTGTAAATGTTCTGTAGGAAAGACATGAGCCTGGGCGGGGCTGCTTGAGCTCCCTGGGGAATGAGGAAAAGGGGGCCTTTTTCCTTTTTTAAAAATATATTGTATTGATTTTTTACAAAGAGGAAGGGAGAGGGATAGAGAGTTAGAAACATCAACTCGAGAGAAACATCGATCAGCTGCCTCCTGCACGCCCCCTACTGGGGATGTGCCCACAACCAAGGTACATG